CGTGTGAAGCTGACCGCTCACCTCCGTTTAGTGTTGAGGTCAAGAAAGTTGGAGCTATACCTCCATTCTCCCATAATTCTTGTGGTTCTTCGGTAATTGAGCGCGAGGACAACTTTACCCCCTTAGTGAGGGGAGAGACTACAAAAAATTGTCAAAATCTGACACCAGGTTATGGAATTTTATGAACCGTCTTGCAGAGACGTGGCATATTCGTGGGGCCTACGGATTCTGTGACGTTTCGCTCTGATTAATGATCCCTAACAGCGTGATAAAGGGCGATTTGAATGGCCCCGTCCCTGGAACCCCGACAGTTATGCAGTGTGATCATATGAGAGCTTCCTGCGACTTCCTCATGCCCCCTAGCGGAAGAATAGGCTACGCGTGTCTCAATGACAAGCCTATGCGGGGAGCTCTGAGACCAATGGATATACACTGGTAAGCAATCTTTAAGAACGAGCGTCTGTATAACGCCCAGTTCGCTGTGTTAATTTTATGACGGTTTCCAAAAGGAACAGCAATCCTATATGCTAATGTGATACCTGTTATGTAGGTACCGCGTGTCTTAATAATGAAAATGAAGATTATTGTCGTCTGGAATGTGATGCTGCGTAGTTGGGACATTGGTGCCAACGTTTCGGAGGGATTTGCCGCCTCAGTCTTCGGGGTAAACAGTATAAACGAACTCCATACAGAATTTGTATTCCGTGCCTAATTTCACGTCAGTTCAGTTTCAGTAAATCATTACTTAGCCTTGTCAAACTGAAAATTTAATATATATTTTAGTGACCGCCGAGTTATTTTACAGTAAAAGTAGCCGTAGTAAACGTTCACAGGGCCTTTTTCGCAGATGATTACTCGTGCTCTTTAAAGGTTTTGTATCGCCTCACCTCAGAAGTTCATGCAGCCACATAGTTTGTATTGTAGGTACCGCCGAATTTAAAAGTGAAAATGTCCGAGTTTTGGGATGTTAATTATAGATATTAGTGGGACTCCTTGAACGGGGTAATCGGCCCGTCGCAAGGCCTCTACCTACACAAGATAACACGAACACAGACGAATGAAGGCATAGATAATTTCCTGGGTACGATTCAAGCCCACAATACCACTGTTCTGTCAGTAAACAGCGTGCGTTAGACCGCTCGGCCTTTGTGATCGCTTACGTAAGAGTAACTCCTTACAGGTATGCCAGCGCGCATGTATGTGCACAGTAGATGTCATTGAAATAGTTTGCTTAAGAACTTACTCACAGAGTAAAAATTGTCAAGTGTTCGATAAGGATAAGAATTTAGGTAAGAGAAGTCGGTTTTATCCTTATGCCAGGAAACTGCTCCGTAAACACGAGCAACAATGGAAGCTGTGTCTCATTGGGCAAATGTTATAGCTCGTTGCTAGGCAGCAGTCAGCGCGCCAATGAACTAGCTTGGTAGCAATCACGTGGCTTGTTTCTTCTGTGTGGTCTGTGCAACGCAACAGTAGAACTGTCTTTTCTGCGGACCGTAACCCTGAGAGGCGACGAAAAGGGAAGTCGCGTGTCTGAGACAGTAAAATATGGTCGCGAGCCCTAAGGGAATTGGACCCGAGGATGACTGTGCTGGCATGGACCAGCAGCAATTGTAAACGACACACTCGTCGTCTCGTCAGAGAGAGCGCCCCGCATCAACAAACCCGCAAATGTCTGACAGTAATAAAAATCTGCCCCTACGCCCCAGATGGGTGCTTCATTCCAAGACAGATCGGCCGGCTGACCGTCAGTCGTAGCATAAGATTCAGACTCAGCTGAGAGAATTTTAGTCGATTTCCGCGGTTCCAGGGTGACTGAACAAGAAATGGCAAAACGACTTCATAGTGATTTGTGGTTTCTGTGCTGAGATCCGTTGCCAGGAGACGACTTGTGAAGACTGAGAATCCTAGTGCGTGTACAACGGTGAACTGAAAGTGTGTAGTATATGATAGCTTTATAATTGAGCGCGATTAAGAGAACTTGTAACAGAAGTGCCAGTAAATCCAATCATCCGATCTAGAACTCGTTAGTTTCGTCACATGTAACCCCTTACACGTGACAACACATACAGGTATGTCAGACTTTCACAATGTGTATGTATTAACAGTCTTCAAGTGCCTACAATCCCATTTACCACTTCTACACTACATGTTTCGGCAGTATGCTGCCATCTTCAGGTGTGTCGATCCGTCAACCATTTCACTGCTTGCCTTTACATGTCCATTTACAAATAATATTAAATTTGTATACGTCCTTATATAATAATAAAGTTTATGTATTTGAAACTTGTTAAAACCTATTATCTCATACGTCATATTTTATATTCGTATGTGTTATTGATCATCCACATGGGGGTCGTTCTTCTTATGTTACTAATGTTGTGTGTATATCTGCAACGTGAAAAATGTTACATATTAATGTTATGTTTCGATTTCTGTTAGTTTCATGTTGTTAATATTGTGACGTGTTGCGCTACTGTTTAGTACTCGCTATGTCTTATGATGTGTTCTACTCTTGTGGCTGCGTGCATTGTATCGATACAAGGTACGCAGCCAAGACCCCAGGTGAGAATGGATCTTGTCAGGCTGGAATGACAAATACAGCGCGTGCACGCACGCATGCACACACGCACACAGAGGAAGAACTGTGATTGTTGCACGTATTTGTGCAGTTCCACATACACAAACATGTATTTGATTCCTCTTTCTTGAGGGACGGGGGCCGGGGGCGGGGAATGCAAAGGCCACTTTTTATCATAGCATATAGCCTCACGGCTTTAATTGGGCCCTGGTGTCACGTCAGCATTTTTAGTTAGACGTATTTGAGACGCCCTTCATATTTTCCAGCTGTGTTTATTTTGGTTCACTTTTATTTTTCTGTTATTTGATGAACTATCCCCCCAGATGTAAAAGTCCGTGGAACGAGTTAAACCTTGGCCTGCAGAGGAAACTTTCTCCGTCGAATATTCCACAGCATCGAACGCGGATCCAATAAGGAAAGATCTGAAGACGAGTTGCCCGATCGTGGATGAGGGTTTTTTAAATGCTCTTGTGAATCCAGTCAGAGGCCTGCGTGATCTGCTTGGCTTCCTTTGCTGATAAGTGCAGACCGGAGAGATTAAGTTATCAGGTTGTTTCTCGTGTTAGTTAATGTGATTGCAGAAATAATAGTCATGATGAGGCGAGACTAGTTAATATGACTGCAAAAATAATAGTCATGATGAGGCGAGACTGAGGAATTACAACGATGACTAGAATGTTTTTCTTGTTTACTCGTTTCAGTATCTTTCTGGACCTTGTATCTAATAATACATTACTTGATATGACTTCATAAACAAAGGTTTGGTCGAAAATTAAATTCACCTCTAGGTTATCATTTGATGTTAGTTGTGATTTGTGTTTTCTGTATCAATTCAAGAAACAGTAAGGAGGATGGTTTAAAGTAATCACACAAATAACTAAGTTATATGTTGATGTCTCATGACCAGAATGACATAAAGTTAGCTAATATCCATTAAAAATGTGGCAAAGTTAAAATATTTGGTAACAACAGTAACAAATCAAAATTTGACCCATGAGGAAGTTAAGAGGGGATAAAATTCGGGTAATGCTTGCTAGCATTTAGTTCTGAATCTTTTTGGCTTCCCGACTGTCTAAAAACGTAAAAGTTTAAATAAGACGAAACTATAATTTTGCCTGTAGTGTTGTACGGATCTCTGACAATGAGGGAACGACATAGATGGAGGGTATTTGAGAACAGGATGCTGAAAGAGGACCGAAGAGAGATTCATTTTTACAACAGAGATATACTCTGGTCACATGTTTTTTTTTATTTCTGTATCATATAATGGGATCTTTTGGTGAACTAGGTCTGCATAAACAGACTTCATTTAACTGTAAAAAAATTTAAAGGTAACACTTATTATTTATAATAACATTCTACGTCCTCAAGATACATGATTATATTTAGAGTATGGAAATCAGTTGTTTATGCTTCTTTTGCATGCTGTGTTTTGAAATACACGGTTTCCTGTACAAAAAGAGATACTTAAGTATGAAGTGAAATCATATTTTTCTCATTTTTGGTAGATTGCTTTATGTAAGTGTAATGTAATTTGTCTTACATTGCATGGGAACTGGAACAGTGCAGGTAATGTCGTCATCACGTGGTCATGTACTGCAGGCTGGACGACAGGTTTCGGTTCTCAGCAGGAGGAGGAATTTTTCTCCCGCCATATCCAGACAAGCTCTGGCATCCATCCACTCCCCTCTCCTGGGTGATAGAATGGCTGGGGTGTGCAGCCAATCACTCCACTCACCTTTACATATTAGTATTGTGGTGAAGAACGTGTGCCGCCATACCTCAACTCCTTCACATGTCTTCATTATGTGGTGTTTAATTAAACATAGGCAACTTTACCGTTTACATTTACTCGCATTTATATTAGGTGTCATAAGCATATACAAATCAATTTTTTAGATAATTTTGTTCATGCTAACAAGGCTCAGATACATGGTTCCTATATTAAAAGTTGTATTCCTGTCATAAGGAAACTGGGAATGGTTATAACGACAAGATTTTCCACAGTTTCACTTGAATGTTGTTGTTTATTGTTTATGTTATAATGTTTGATTTATTAAGTAAGCAATATCTTCATCCTGAAATTTTATTAAATTTAATGTCAAGAATAAATTGTTCACCATATGATTTGCAGGTACAGTGGTTACATTTTGTGTTTGTTAAATGTCTTGAAGTGATTATATGGAGAGTTCTTATTCTTGCTACTAAACAACTTGAGGGAATTCTGGCTACTACATCTAGTTTTGTGTTTTTATTTAAATTACAGATCCGGTTTTAGGTGGTGGTGTTGTAAGTCAACCTTGTATAGTATGGTATAACCAAAGGCACAACTCTGCAGTGATTATCTCTGACCTTGTACCACATTTCTTCTCTTTTAGTGCTGATGTTATTCAGTTTTTCATTTGCATTTGTTTTGCAGTTGTTCATCAATAATGAATTTGTGGACTCTGTCTCTGGAAAGACTTTCCCCACTGTGAATCCAGCAACAGGAAAGAAGATTGTAGACATTGCTGAAGGAGACAAGGTAAATGGTTCATCCCTTAATGTTCATTTAATACAACAGTGTTGAAGTAATATTCAATCTGTGGGATGAAAATATGGACGTCTTTTTTTTGCAATTCGCATATTGGGGGTGTGGAGACCAGCTGGGTCCACTTGGCACATCAGCCACTGATTTACATATTGTACCTGCCCAGAATGATTATGATGATGGAGAATTTGGTGGAATGAAGATTGGTAGGGGAAACTGAAGTACTCGGAGAAAACCTCCCCCAGCGCCACTTTGTCCACCACAAATCCCACTTTACCAGACCCGGACTCGAACCTGGGCTGACGTGGTGGGAAGCCAGCGACTAACTGCTTTAGCTATGGCGCAGCCTTTTGGATAAGTTTTACTGTTCAGAATACAAAAAAGTCGATGATGAAACAGGCTGAATCATTCATAATTTCAGCATCAGTAATACTTTAGCATCTACAGAGAACGTTTAGAAATACATGAATTTACACTACAGTAAAGTACATTTGTTACTAAAATAATGTACTGAGTAAATAAGTATAGACATCTTTATGTGTGTGTTGCATCCTGTTGTGTCTCTCACTGCTATATCAGTCTATCACAATACAACTATAAACAAACAACTGAAGACCAAGTATTATTGACAAAATCGGTGTTTGTTCAGGAAGGTACTCGAAGGTACCAAGCATATGTGGTCATTATTTTTTAAAAATATTAAAAATATTGTCATTGTACATCATAGGACTTCTTATTACAATAGATCCATTGTTATTAGTTGCTATCTTATACAACCCATTCAACAAGGTATAATGCTCGTACATATACAAATTATATTGAATTGAAATAATTAGTGTGGGTAATTCTGTATTATAGTATGAACTGAAATTAGAATTTAAAACTGAATCTTTAGTTAAATTTGTATAAACATCCTGCAAGTTTGAGGTTTCATGTTGATGATTATTCAGGTAGACTTGGAAGGCGAATATCGATGTTGCAGACAAATATACATAAGCATATATAACCAAGCCAATTTCTCACTTTACACTTTCAAACTCTGATGATGGAGGCAGCATATTCCTCTGAAGTATTGGTATGTCCTATAAGGTTACATGATGGCACACTCCAGAAGACCACACAATCTGGACTGTACACAATAATTTGACACATTTAGTTCACTGCTCGTATGTAGGTTACAGATGTAAGTTATTTCTAGTCTTTAGAATACTGGATGATGGACAAAGTCCAAAAACCCGTTAATTCTGAAAGTTATTATTTTATATGTGCCTTGGGGCACGCACACAACGTGAGAGTTATGTAACACATAATAACACAAGGATTAAAGTTATTAATCCTACCAAAGCCATGGAAATTTCTGTGTATTATTAACCTACTTTCCTTACTTTGAAAAAGTTAAAGAAGGCTTATGTTATCATCTTGTTGTCTGTGTGTATATATATTTCCCCCCCCCCCTTCCCGCACTCTTGAAAGCCAGAATGTTGTAGCCAGAAGAGATGGCCGTTACAGTGTCAAATAAAAATATGTATATCTGACACGATGCCTGAAAACCGGTATAGTGCAGTCAGAGAAGAGCCGTGGAGACGGCCTTTGCTAGGTAGCCACTCAGTAATTAGAGTTCTTTTGTTAGCCTACTTTCACTGTTTGTTTGGGTGTCTGTATGTCTCTATGTGTATCTCCCACATCGTTGCTAGGCAACAGCCTACTTGATAGGCAGCAGCTCAGTAAACGCATTCCTGCTGCAGTGGATACACACACAGCAGCAGAAGAATTGTTGGAAGCATGAGTTTTCTGTGTGATCCGTGTCATATCAGAGCGAAGTACGTGATTAGCTCTTCCCATAACATATTGTTTATTAATGCCCAATATATTTTCATCGCCTTAATACCAGTGATTTGCAGATTATTTGTGTGCAATGGGCTCTTTATCCAAATGCAGCTTTGAAGTTCCTAGGCATAGATTTCTAATAGGATTGACTGAAATATAGGAAATCTCATGTGGGAGGAGAAGTAGGTATTCTGAAAATATATGTGGTCAGAATTTTCACTAACATGTCTGATGTACAGCTAAGAAGTGTTCAGATGTTTTGATCTGTTGGAATAATAGCACTCTCCATAGCACAGAGTTGTGGGCATTGTACGGTGAAGGAATCAGGAAAATTGTACTTCATACTTCATTTACATGCTCCCTTATCAGTTGCATATTAGCTAAATTAAGTTCTGCTGACCTGTACCTCAGCATTTGACAATGTGTTGCAGGCTGATGTAGACAAGGCTGTAGCAGCTGCCAAGGCTGCCTTTAAGATAGGTTCACCATGGAGGAAACTGGATGCTTCCGCACGAGGGGTACTCCTCAACAAGGTACAGATTGTGGCACTACAAAACAGTACATAAAGTGCTTGTGCTCTTGCTCCTGAACTTTCTTATAGAGTTTTACGTTAATATGAAGTATTCAACAACAGATTTTATATATATCATGGATGCATTTTGAAAGGAATTGTTAAATAATGAACTCTGATACTATTTCCCCCACCTCTGAGAATTATAAAAATATCAACTCAGAGTAGATCTTAGTAAAGATTTCAAGGCTGGATGGAAACAAGGTGTTCAGTAATACTTACAGCAAGCCAACTTCATCTAATGTGGGAGCTGTTTGTTTGTAAAATGTATGTCAACTTCCACGGTATTTTGTATCTGGAAAGGAGAAGAATGATGATCATGACGCTGTTATCAAGCTGGAGATTTCAGAACAAGAAATTTTAATAAGTAGTTGTTATGATAAGTGAACTATTGTTAGTTGGCAGATCTTATGGAACGTGATGCTAAAACGTTGGCAATACTGGAGACTCTGGACACTGGCAAACCTCTCACAGGAGCAAAATTTGAAATGCTGTTCTGTGCAAAAACATTGCGCTACTATGCTGGCTGGTGTGACAAGGTACATGGCCAGACTATTCCAGCAGGTGAGTAGTTGGATCAGTAGCTGTTCTGAAATCAGGTTTGAGTATGATTGTAAGTTGTGAGACTGGTGTCTTAGCTTCATAGCTTATATTCATCCCATATATTTGCCCTTTAGGCATTTGGGCAAAAGGATTTCAAGAATGATGTATTTAATGATGTGACTGTTGAAGCAATTATGAATGCCAAATAAAAGGAATGAATGAATTAATTAATTAATTAATTAATTAATTAATTAATTAGAGTATTAAGTATTTGTTCTTTGACTGCAATAGCATGTCTCCAGTTTGGTAGTATATAAGTCTACACTGATAAAGTTTGTAACTTTTCCATCTTCACAGACTTTGTTTCCAAATGGGGCATATATCACTATATCGCACAAAATCTTATTGAAGTTATTTGTTTGATGTTGACATTTCTCTCTCTCGACAGATGTGACTATGGGACTACAGGAGGAAGGCCATCAGAAAAAGATTACTTTCTTATATTTAGTTCTCAATCCTTTGTCTTCCAAATTTTTGTCTAAAACAGAAAGATCAAAATATGAGCATTGCAATTTTAGCTGTTGTTTTGTATGTATATGTAATTTGGTCTTTCACATTAAGAAACTTATGCAGTTTGAAGGTGTTGTAGAAGAGGGTACAAAGAATATTTACATCTGAGAGGGAGGAGGAAAGAGGAGACTGGAGGAAATTAGGTAATGAGAAGTTCCACAATTGCCAAAAATTGTTAGAATAGTTGAATCAAAAGGATGAGTTGGGCAGAACATACAGCAAACATGGGAGAGATGAGAAATGCATATTAAGTAGTGGTCAGAAAACCAAAAGGAAAGAGGCCATTTTGGAAATCCAACCACTTGAGAGAACAGTATTATAATGAAGATTAAAGAAGCAGGGTGTAAAGGTGTGGACTAGAATTGTTTAGTACAGACAGGGGTTGCTAGCAGACCCTTGTGAACATGATAACGAAAATTCAGATTCTTTTAACATTGGGGAAAATCTTGGTTGTCTGAGCAGCCATTTGCTTCTGAATAAGGACTCTGCTCTGTTTGATGTAGATGGCGCAGTGTTCTCGTTCACTCGTTTGGAACCAGTGGGCGTTGTTGGACAGATCATCCCATGGAATGGCCCAGCAGTGATGGCAATCTGGAAGCTGGCCTCTGCAATTGCAACTGGGTGCACTGTTGTTTTGAAGCCTGCAGAACAGACACCCCTTACTGCCCTTTACATTGCTGCCCTTGTCAAAGAGGTACAGATGTGAGATACAATAAACTCTTTGGAATGAATAATGTCACATGCCAATGAGCAACATATTTTACCCTTGGTACAGGGTCCTTATTAAGCCGTTGATACTTATTCAGATGATCAAGAAATGCCCTGTAGGAACTGAGGTCACAGCGGTGGGTATGAAGAGTTCTGTCTTTTGGGTGCATGCTTCCTGGTTCATGATGGTTTCTTGTTTGGCCTGCTTTTCAACCCTGAAGGTGGAGGCTATATATTCCTCAAAAAAATCAGTTGAGTTTCATTGGAATGTACAGTGTTATATCCCAGAAAGTAGAACTCTTCAAGGATAATCCTGTTGTATAATTTATTTGTTTATTTACTTAAGTTGTGTATCACTTTGTTATAGAACCAAAAACTTACATCGCAAACATGACTAATGCCTGTTTAAATCAGTTTATTCTTCTTCGTATCATCTTCCTTTTATGAGTAAAAAGAACTTAATATTATCCTCCCATCTGCCACAATGTTGTTTCACCAAACGGTACTTAAAGCATGCACATATGCCAGCGATGTTGCGTGCATATGTGTTTGTGCATGTGTGTGTGATGGAGGGAGGAGAATAAGGAATCTCTTTTCCTCTCTATTTTTTGAATGCCCTGTTTCAAGGATTTGTGTAGGTTTCTCTGTCAGTCTTCTACCATGATGCCTTGTCTACCATACTTTCTTTTATCATTCTTTTCTATCCTACCTACAAACCCCAACCAGTTCCCTCTGAATTTTGTTTATTTCTGTTAATTTTATGACATATTATGGCCTTTTGTCGTTCTTTTGCTAATAATAGGTCTTCTTTTTCATTCCCGCTTAAATATTTATTTTCTACTAACTGTAATGAACTTAAGCATTGATTGTTAATGTTCATGAGTCACAACTGTATCTTACTGCAGCAGCTCAAGTTGATGATAAAAACTAATTTAATTTAGTATAGTCTGTAGCTTGGATGCCAGTTCTTACTGTCTGAACAGACAACTTGTCAATTTTAATAATGAAACTTAGCAGAAAATATGTTCAGTTACATCATTCTACATTTATTGTGGTAATGAAGTGAAACACAGACAATAATTTGAGACCCATTTTATATTATATACAGTTTTATCTTGTAACTCTCTGTACATGTATACATTATTTTCCTTATCTTCAGGCTGGTGTCCCTGAAGGTGTAGTTAATGTGATCCCAGGCTATGGGCCAACAGCAGGTGCAGCCATCACGGCACACCCAGATGTCACTAAAGTGGCTTTCACTGGATCTGTAGAGGTAAAACATCCTGCATAAGATGCAGTTTCTATTATGCATACTGCTCCCCATTGTGCTAAAGTATATAGCTCTTCAGCCAGTAATTCCCCTTCCCCCCACAATTGTGGGTAGTGCATCTGAATGCTTGCATCTCAAAAATGGATACATGCACTGTTCTACCTGTGTAGAGTCATGGAAGATTGATACCATTGTAACTGGAACTGTTTGCTCTTGTCGCAGACAAACAAGACAAATACTTGCTGTCAAAATTGTGCCTTACTGGATATGCAGATCTCAGCATTTATACAGTGCCAATCCAACATAAACCTTACAGTTCATATGTAGGGATTATAACTCTGTAAATGTTGTTGGTTATGGAAATATATAGTTGGGGCACACAAACTTCCTTTTCTTGAAGACGAATAAAAGAAAAATTATTGCTGATAGACAAAATTTATGTTTAGCTAATGAAAGAACATGCTTTAAAGTTTTAAATCATGTAGTTTTAAACAAAATATCTTGAAGGTGGTGGCCACCGTTCTCTATGCACTGATGCAACCGTTTTCTGAAGTTCCCCTTTGCATGTTCCAACATGTGCACCAGAATTTGGGCTACTTCCTGCCGAATAACATTCTTCAGCTGAAGCAGGTTTGTGGGGCGATGTTTAAAAACCTCTGCCTTGAGGTATCCCCATAAAAAAAAATCACAGGGCATTAGATCAGGTGAGTGCGCTGCCCACGGGATGTCACGTCGAAGCGAGATGAGCCGTCCGGGGAACTTTGCCCTCAGAACTGTCATCGAAGCTCGGGCTATGTGGGCCATGGCACCATCCTGTTGGAACCAGACATTTCCTAGATGCATTTCTTCAAAAGCTTGTTTGAAAAAGTTTTTAATCATGTCCACATACCACTGTGAATTGACAATAACTGCATGATTGTCTTCTTCAAAAAAATAAGGGCCAATAACTCCAACTCTCAACAACACACACCATACTGTCACTTTATCACTGTGAAGTGGCCTTTCATGGAGCTCTCTGGGATTGTTACCACTCCAATAGCACATATTCTGCTTGTTGACATATCTGGATAGGTGAAAATGTGCCTCATCACTAAAGAAAAGAAGTGCATCAGGGGGTAAAGTTTCCAATAACATTTCGCACGCCGTTATTTGGTTCTGGAACTCACATGGTGACAATTCTTGCACAACAACCATCTTATAGGGATGGAAATGAAGATGTTCGTGAAGAATTCGGAACATTGAACGATTGGATATGTCTAGGGCGACTGCATGTTTGCGAGCGGAACGTCTTGGAGATCTCAAAATCGACTGTCGAACTGCCTCCACATTTTCTGGCGTCATAACGGTCCGTTGTCATCCTGATGATTTTTTTTCACCACACTCCCAGTTGTCCTGAAGTTCTCTACCCACAAAAAAATCGATATCCCGTTGGAACTGGACCTCTGGGCTTAATTTCGAAGTGAGTACAGAACGCACGCTGCACCGCCACGTAGGAATGGTTGTTCGAAAAATAGGCTTTGACAGCAAACGCACGCTGCTCACTTATCCACCTCATGTTTCCTACTGAGGGGTATTAGACAGAAACTTCCACGACTGCTGCGTTCGCCGAGCCTATCCTCACTTTTCTGTGACCTCCCCTCCCTTCACAATGCGTCTTCACAAAAAGGAATTTTCTGCGCCCCATTCTGTACAATAGTTCTATGTAATATTCTAGATGCGATGACTAGTGTTGTTTGTAGCCCATCATAACAGTTTTATGTACGTAACATATTTAAAGTTTTACTCTATCCATTGTCCTCCAAATCATTGTCAGTATCATCATCATCATCATCATCATCATCATAGATAGGTAATGTGTTCCAGTTGTAATATTTATAGTTTATCTAACATGATCCTTAGTGGACTCTCTTATTCATGTATTTTATGCAGTAAAACTTTAATAAAAAATCAGAAGGGTCCTTTTCGTCGTCGTCATCACGATTTTCAATACTCTGATCCTTACATTATCATCCAGATTAAAAGAATATTACACAGTGTGTACACCTTACATCTTTTTATGTACCACCAAAAGTAAATGAGAATTTCATTCCAGGTTTGTAGTATTTTTAGTCTTTCATTTTTAAAAGAATGATTCTATGTGAACAGAAAAAGATAAATGGATTCTTCATGCAGAATGCATACTTTAAAATTATCATTTTATTTCTGTTCTTACATTAGCATTTCTCACTTATTACATATACAGTTACACTAGCCTGAGACATTATAATGTCAAGCAAGGATTATGTTTTTCCAGGATTTCAGATTTCTGTGTTTATTTCTACTTAGATCAAGAAAATTTAGTCTGTTTCTTTCTTTGGGGTTTGAGGGGGGAGTCCTGTCTATCTATCCCTCATGATGTTGCCATAATTCACAACTGCTTAAACTCACAGAGATTATAGTTTTGTAGAATTATATATATTCTTTCAAGTTCTGTTATTTTTTCATTGGAGATACATGGGATAGATATTGTGGTATAATTAATATAAAAAGAGACTGAGCAAAAATATGAAGCAAGGTGAGGCTATCTACAGTTTCCCATATATATAGGGATCAGGTGTGTTTTGTACAAGATATAATTTTATATTTTTTGTGGATGTTTTCCCTCACTTTAGACTGAGTTATTTAAAGTTGATTGTATTTGTGGTTATATTGAGTTTATACTACTCATTCCATTGATAATCTACAGCCTTGTCAAAATTAAATTTTTCAAAACAGCAGAAATTGTCTACATGACTTGTGTATTTCCAGGTGGGGCGCATCATCATGGCAGATGCAGCCAAGTCAAATTTGAAGAAAGTGTCACTGGAACTGGGAGGGAAGAGCCCTCTCGTCATATTTAAAGATGCCGATGGTTTGTATTTCACTGCAACTCTTTCACTGCACTAAAATCTGTAAACTTAACTCTGACAGTTTTTTATGTTTGTGATTACCAATACATCCTTGTCCCTGGTAAATACTTGTCCATTTCTGACTTTATCAAAATTATTCTGCTTCAGTTGACCAGGCAGTAGAGCTGGCACATCAAGCTGTGTTTATCAACCAAGGGCAGGTATGCTGTGCAGGCTCCAGGACCTTTGTGCATGAAGATATATATGATGAATTTGTCAAGAAGTCTATAGAAAGGGCTCAGAGGAGGAAGGTTGGAGACCCTTTTACTGAATCAACTGAGCAGGGACCCCAGGTACAGTTCTGAACTTACTGTGAAACAATGAAAGAATGCTTTAACAAGACAAACACATTCATGCCTCTAGTTGGATTCGAACCCACAATCCCAGTGTTCAAGCAGGCAAAGATGGCTCATGCCTTAGACCACATGGCCACTGTGATCAGCAGTTAGTTATTCTTACAATTTGAAAACTAAAGTAATCCTTTGAATGCCTGTATTTTCATGAAAAGAGAGACTCCACTGCACACATTTAATGTGTTTGTCTTTTAGATTGAAATTAGATTTATTCTTAACTAATTAGACACTGCACCATGAAGAGAACACCACTTGAAACATCTCTTATATTGCTGCATGACGTGTTCCTCTGTTGTATTTCTACAGGCCATTACCTAGCAACAGGTCTACATGCTACAAATATAGCAATGTGTAATATGGCTGTATATTGCCATTGTATGTGTTTGATATCCATGTTCTGGAGTGATAGAAATGCACTTGTTGGGATTCTAGTACCATCCGTTCTTTATAGATGATCAATCCATTTCTGTCTTTGGCAATTCACTTTGCCTATAACTGCATTCATAAGAAAGAAATGCTCTCATCTAGTAGTCTGTCAAGATAAATTCATCCCACGATAGATCTCAAAACTGAATTTTTTCCTTTCGTTTTTATTTTATTTGTTCCAGAAACAAAGCTGAAGAAGTGCTGAATATAATGTTCTGCATAGTTTTCTCAGTTTTGCTAGCCTAGGTGTTGCGAAGATTGCATTTTTCTGTATGGTACGCCTGCAGTGTAAATTTAATATTAACATGTTCTGATCTAAATTTCAGATTGATGACGAGATGTTCAACAAAGTTCTGAAATTCATTGAGTCAGGGAAGGCAGAAGGGGCTAAACTGGAATGTGGAGGAGAACGCTTGGGTGACACTGGGTACTTCATAAAACCAGCTGTTTTTACGAATGTCACAGACAACATGACAATTGCTAAAGAAGAGGTGAGGTAATTGTGTTATATGCAAGAAAATGTCAGAGTAGCATTAGTATTTCTTTAGGCCTGACAGAAACTAACGCCTTACTGACATAGTCATTATACACCTTAGATATACTATCACTTTACAACTTCTTACTTGTGTAGTGTTTATTTGTAGGCTGTATAATAATGTTCTGTCAACTGCAGAGAGGAAAGACTGGCAGTGTATGTTGAGGAGGAAAAGATAAATAAGGATGCAGTCCTGGTCTGTTTGAATACTATTCTGGCATTTTGATGGAAGAACAAAAGAAATTGCTGATTTTAGGCTTTCACAGTGGTTCATTCTTGATATTTATCCTGCTTTATGTGTATTTTCACCATTTAAAAGAGACAGCAGTGTCAGCATTGCCCCATCCACACCATGCAAGCACCCTTGAGCAGGACTGACAGTGCAGGTACCCAAAAGCAGAGGCAAAATAAAAAATGTCAATATCCCCCTTTGACTGTTGCTGCTCTGTTCCAGAACTGTACTGTGACCTCCTGATTAAAGGTCTGTAACATCTGGTATTAGGTCACTTGCAGATAGAAATTAAGTCCATATTAATGCATTTTCCATGGTTCTGTGCATGAAAATTGTTCAAAATATAAATTGCAACCAGTCTTTAATCAATGTAAACAAGCCTTTTGTGAAGTTTACAGGTTGGATAAAGTGGAAGCTAAATAAGATATGAATTAGGTGATTAATAACCATTGGAGGGGTGGGGGTTATATGTTATGTACAGAATGTTTTTGTGTATTTATACTTAGCTTGAAGAAGATAGGAATGTTCTCAGTCACTATGTAATAAATTTAATGATTCTATATAACATATTGCTATAATTATTACTTTTTATTACAGTAGTGCATGTTGAATTACTGATGTTGCCCATAATGCTTTGTAGTTCTTTATATTTCTGTTAACAAACTTTCAGTTATGGTATATTAACTTAAGTGTTTTTTATAGCATACAAGTTTTACAATTTTTAGAAATCCCATGTATTTATGAAAATGATACAGAGATGACCTCACTGAGATCTGGATCCCAGTGGAATGCCTATAGATGTGCATCTTGAAAAATTATTTTATTCCCATTGATCCCCTTACAGACATTTCAAGTAGAACTCTCTGTTAGCCTAAATATAAATTGTTGATAATATTAAAATATTACTGATTGACAGGGAATGGATTTCTTGGTTAAAAAAAAAAGTTGTTTTTTTTTTACATCAGCTGTTTAAGCTCAGGAAAATCAGTGTGATGTTCAGCTTACTGTGAGTATTGTTATACACAGAGTTTAATGTCGCCTAAAGACACATATTTGTGATAGAAATAATTATTTTTGGATATGTAAATAAAATTGAATGATATACATCTTAGATGGATAAATTAATATTTTATGAGTATATGTCTATGCAAACTTATCAAGGGGAATTATGTTCAGTAAGTATCCTCCTTTGTTTTGATGTGGGAATCCCCTTCTCAGGGTTCCAGCTATTAAAGTGTAAGACAAACATAAGTGACCTGCTGACAGATGGGGAATGACCCATCTGTTTTTGTCCACCAAATTAGGAACTCACGAAGACAATTATAACCAATATTATTGGGTGCCTGGTATTGGTTGCTACAGATCTTTATGAAGCTATTCACAGTACTGTAGATTTTTAATTTTAACTGTTGCAATGCAGTTGAGCTGAGTTTCAAAGAATGGGAAACGTCAAATCAAGTGCCAAATTCCATTTATATCAATATGTCAGTGATTTTGAGGATGTGTTCAATTCTGATGGTTAAGTTCTCTTCTGTCATGCTGCATGTGGGATGTTGTTGTATAAGAGCATTCTCAAGCTACACAGTATTTAAGTGGAAGCTGACAGTGTTGGCTTAAATGATCAACTAGGTAGGCAGTCTGTAATTGACTAGCATTCTATAACACAGGACTTTCCAAGGTTGTTACTCCTGTGACATCTGTCCAAAGCATTTGTGTCTGCAAACATAGAACATTTTAAAATAAAATATCACAAAGTTAGGAATTTCCTACAAAATTATCCTCAAGACAGGTCCTCCAGATGAATTAACTTAAGCATAAACTGTCTACTTAAGTGCTATGAACAAACTTAAACAAAATTTCGGTATTGTGTTGGAAAGAAAGTTTTTGTGTGTCCATAGATAAAACATCTAATATAAGTGGAAGGGAGGCTGTAAATGTTACTGAGGATCCAAAAAATGATGAACTGCTATCAGAGAAATAATCGTTTGTGTCAGAACAGGAAATGTCTGCAGTGAATGATACAGTAGCAGCATATGTTTTCAATGAAGCTGTGTAGACTTTGAAGTCAGACAGTGTGAAATTTTATGTGTTGTTGGTAGTTAAAAAATGCAACGATGAACATGGGAAAAGCAACAGAAGGACTTTTCAGCGAGTTGCCCTGAACTGTTTTTCCACATGCAGACAAGTTATGGCTAACGGGAAGAAATCTTTGTAAAATGGCCAGATAGAATAAGAGTTCCTTAAAATCAAACTCTAAACACAACATTCCCATCTCTAGTAATTACACTTTGGGAACCATGGTTGTATGCCACTGAGTATTATGCAAAGAACTTCGAAATCTTCTGTTCTGTGGTAAATGAGCTTGACAGGGATAATGCTTCCTCTGTTACAACATTGCAAGAAATAAATTGTAATGACTCAAATGAATTTAAGGTGCTAAAAACTGACTTTGCCTACACGCCTGCAAATTTCAGTTCTCTGTCACAGTCTGTAACAGAGTTTATAAGGACCAACAACTTATTGGCAGAAACAAGAACAAAATTAGTCAGTGACATTCAAGATGAACTGAATGGCTCAGATGATGATGTAATACAAAAAAAAATGAACTCATATTTCAACAAGAATGAAGGCTTTAATGTCGCATGCAAGATATCATATTTGTTAGAGGAGGAAGACATAATTGATTCTGAAGACGTGAAAGACGAGTCTTAGTAACATGTGTTACAAGTGTGCAAGATTGGTATCATGTAACATGGAACAAACATTGTCTATAATCAAATCATTCTTCTATGTGACACAGATTTGGAATACTTCAAGATTTAAAGATGACTTTCATGGTCCACTGCAGTAGTGCTTTATTCTCTGTTTGAGGTAGTGATGACCTTTGACGATGACCTTTGTATAATCGTGGGTTCTTGTTTAAAAATATTTTTGACTTCTTAGAGCATATTTTAAAGCACATAAAGAATAAATAATTTCCAATATTTTAGCATCTAGAAATTCCCTGATGATTTGCTAGCATTATGACTTCAAAAAGAAAAAAAAAACGTGTTGCTGGATAATGTTAACCCATCATAAATCCTGTTTCTCCAAACTGTTACTATCCTTGTTCATAAGAATTTGCAACTTCAGAAAAAGCAGACTTTTCTTTAAAACTCCCTTGACTGTGAGGATAACTGAATGCCAAACAGTTCCCTTCTCAGACTAACATATTTCAACCCTCCTGCACACCTCAGAATCATTGCTCTTTCAATTAACTTTTCCTACACAGAATTAACATTAAAATTTAATGAAATACTAGTTAATTAAAATATGCAGTAAATCAACAAACATGTTAACTTACATAATTAATAAGTCGTTGTCTACAGGAATATTCCCTGCTCATTTAAAATATTCTGCAATAATACCTATACACAAAAAAGGGGATAAAACCGACATGTCCAATTATAGACCTATATCTTTACTCCCAATCTTTTCTAAAATTTTTGAAAAAGTTATATATAAAAGAATGTTTTTACACTTAAATACACATAACCTGCTAACGCAGGAGCAATTCGGCTTTAGAAAAAACTCTTCAACTACATTAGCTACTTACAGTCTAATGGAGAATATTTATAGGGCTTTAAACAACAAATATATAGCGGGTGGAATTTTTTGTGATCTGAATAAGGCTTTTGACCGAGTAAATCATGATATATTGCTATCAAAAATGGAATTTTATGGAATTGAAGGAGTTGCTCAGAAACTTATGAGATCCTATTTTAGAGGAAGATACCAGAGAGTAATTTTGTATGAAAACGGGAGTAAATGTTGTTCTAAATGGAAAGAAATACAGTGCGGAGTGCCTCAGGGCTCTGCATTAGGCCCAGTGGTCT